TAGGATTTTCCTTCGGTTGATGATACAAATCCTGCATTACCCATACTAAGGAATGTACCATAATTCCCATAGTTTTTAAGGTCCTCAAGGTAGCGCAGGATTTATACCATCAACAGTAGTACCCTATCCTCATTGAATCACCCCCCATCGGGATCCTACAACACCATGATTCGGGATTTGGGGTTTAGGGTATAGCTTAGGCTATGGACGGCGGAATGATAGTATTGCAAGGTCCCTAAACCCTAAATCCCCAAGTGCAGTCATGAATTAAGGGGTACCGACATCTTCTGAGAAGCAGCTTCAAGCTCTGATCTTCGGACGTTATTCCTGCATAATACGAGCATATTGTACACTCCCTCGGGACTTGGGGCTTAAGGGTCAAAGGTTTACGGCAACACCAGAGCCGGATTCGACACGTGAGGCCATTCGGATCGACCCTAGACCCTAACCCTTAGGCTGACCATACTATGTAAGGCTTTTGGGCTATTCTGACAAACCCTAAACCGTACTTTTGGGGGAACTGCAAAAAACAGCTGCCCCTGCTCTTCGTTGGGGAGCTTTTGTCGGCACCTTGATTACCCCTGGCAGGGGTAGACAGTCCAGTAATAATAACAACATTAATGACAACAATGAATAAACAATAATAACAATAAAAATCAAAAATAAAACAGTAGTAACAATAACAATAAAGTGATAAGTATTATGTACTATTGATGGTACTATGACTCTTCATGCTAGGATTAAGGCTTGGGGCACTTCATGGTTGGGAGTCGGTGACCGATGGCTCATCCCCTGTTCGGGCTGAGGGGTTTAGGGTTTTTAGGGTTTAGGGCTTTAGGGTTTCAGGGTTTAGGGCTTTAGGGGTTTAGGGTTTAGTTTAGGGCTTTAGGGGTTTAGTTTTTAGGGCTTTAGCATTTAGTAAAAAGCATTACGGGTTTAGGGTTTAGTCTGGGGTCTAGGGCGTAAGGGGCTGGATACCTGAAATCGTTCACACTGGCAGATGTACTGATGGCATCTTCCACGATGACTACTTATCAAGACGCGACTGAATCATGAACCCTAAGCCCCTAAACCCTAAACCCCTAAACCCCTAGGCCCTAAGCCCCAAACGATGTGACTAGTGACTGCCTCATAACATAAATCCTAAGCCCCAAAACCCAACACCCATCACCTGAAACAAAGCGGTACGGTGCGTCGCCAGCACGGACAACCCCTAAGGGTCCATGTGCCCAAGCAGGGTTGTATAAGGACAACATAAGGGTTCAGGGTTTCGGGCATTAGGGTCCCTGTACCATATAGTAGATAATATGATCATAAAGTCTTCCCTGCAAAATGGTACTGTAGGGCCAAAGTATATACTACATGGGTACATGGACCCTTAGGAAACCTGAACATGCACCATGCAGCGTGGCTGAAAAAGTCCGAAACTCTAAACACTTAAACCTCAGGGCATACTTCGGTTGATGATATAAATCCTGCATTACCCATAATGGGGAATATCGGAATATACCATAATTCCCACAGTTTAGGTTTACGGTCCTTAACGTAATGCAGGATTTACATCATCAACAGTTTCAAGCCCATCTTGAAAGCCTAAAATTTCAAACCCACGACTGAAGACACCAACAGCCCATACCCTACCCTACACCCTAGTCACCCTAGTCCCAGAGGCTTTAGAGTTTTAGGGATGTTTGGGGTTTCAGGGTTGGGGGTTTTAGGGTTCAGGGCCCTTCGGGTTCAGGGGGTTTAGGGTGTTTAGTGTAATAAAGCTCAGCCCATTGAAAATCACAGCACAAAACCCCTAAACCCTAAACCACGGCGCCATCGGCCTTTGGCAGGGGCGCAGTGAGCTTCCTCGAGTAAGTTTGCATCAAAGACCTGGGCCCAAGGATCTCTCTGAGAACTTCCTTCCAGTCGGAAAGTTCGTTGTGGCCTATGCTGTGCACTGACAAAAAACGCTTCCAAGACCACTCCTTTTGAGGTTCCTTTAAAGGGTCCCCCTAAGGCTCAAAAATAGCCTCAAAAGCCTTATATCGTGTAGTCTTTGGGCCCAGAAGCCTGAAAAGATGAGTCCCTACACCCTTTGGGTTAAGGCCTTTACCTCCAAATTATGGCAAGGTCCCGAAGATGATGTAAACTTTTCTTCTTGATTCACCAAGAGATTGGAGATACTGGAAGATCTGGGTTGACCGGAAAGAACATGTCACTGGAAGGTGCCAAGTGTCCGACCCCAACAAAATGTCCACTTTGGCCCGAACATGACTTGGGGGGTCCAAGTACGGTGTATGTGGGCAGGGGGCCACTCTCAACTTCCAGTAATATAGAGGCCGCACTTGACAAGTAGTGAAAGACTCAACACTCGAAAACGGCTCCAGCAACCATGAACCACAAGCAAGAGACCCAAACCAAACCCCCAAAAGCCCTCAGCAACCCCCTCCATTCCGATGTTTTTTTTTCTCGGGTTTAGGGTTTTTGGGTTAAGGGAATTAAGTAAGGTTTAGGGATTAAGGCTTCGGGTTTACGGATGAAGGTTTAGAGTTTCTAAAGTTTAGGATTTAGGGATTCAGGTTTGAACCTGCTGGGGATCCTGGCCCGGTGTGAGTGCACGAATCGCTGGAGGCACTGGTCCACCCACATGTCCTGGAGACTGTTGAAACAGAGGACCGCATTTGCGAAAATAGGGCCATAGGGCTTAGGAGTTTAGGGCTAGGGTTTAAGAGTGTAGGAGTTTAGGGGTTTAGGTTTTAGGAGTTAAAACTGAGTTTAGGGTTTAGGTGCAGACCGCACCCTGAGGGTCCATAGGCCCATATAGTACATGGTATGTATTTGGGCCACGAAGCACTTATAAAGGACTACTTACGACTTGGGCACATGGACCCTTATAGGGATAGACGGCCGGAATACTGAGAACAGGGTTTAGGGCCCTTCGGGCTTAGGTATGATAACAGCACGACATGGAGCCCTAAGGAATACTGAATAATTGGAGCTCCCTGAGCCGCTTTTGTATGGATTGGGACTTCGTCAAGTCGATTCTGTTGGAAGGTCACCAGGGCACCTTTAGAACAATACTAAGAATTATCTCTTAATATGATCTTCTCGAGTTATGCTTTAATGAAGATCAAACAGAATTCCTAAGAGCACCAAAAACTTGATCTCATTAGTTCTGTGGGATCGGTTTTAAGCTGTCCCAGGAAGTTTAAGGATCTTCGAAGGGCATATTCTGCAAACGTGCAAAGTTGTTTTTAAATGGCGCATGGGTAGTCACATAGCCTTCCACTCAAACACGGAATCATGCGGCTTTGGAGGCAGGGGTACATGGCAGCATATGGGTAGCTCGCTAAACCAGTCCCTTTTGGGTTCCCTATTATGGTCCTTGCTACAAGGGTGCCGTACTATATTGGGGATCCAACAAATTTAAGGACCCTAATTTAGAGAATTACCCATATGTAAGTTTCAGGTTTTAGGCTGGGTAAGGCTTGCAAATGGAATCCCTGGGTCCAGGGTATGGGGTTGAGGGTTTACCTTGGCACCCCTGGGGTATGGTGTCGAAAACCACCAAGAAGGAATACTTGGACCCTGAGGGAATTCATGAACTATCCAGGCACCTTGAAGTATGGACCCAACACTGCTCCGACGTGCTCTAAACCCTAAACCCTAACCCCTAAAGCCCTAAAGCCTAAACCCTAAAGCTCAAGCGCCTGCCCAAACTCCGAAGCCCGACCATGAAGCCTGAAGGAATGGCAACACAAGCTACCCGAAGGGTCCAGTAAACAAACAGTACAGACGTTGGCCTTAGAGTATAGAGTCCCTGATATGAAGGCCAAAGTATATGCTATTTTGGTACATCGACGTACGATCTAAGCCTCTCTACTCGGAGGGTTTAAGTCCAGATTGTAGTACATACCTTTAGAGACAAATGCTGCGAGATATGTACAGTACTCATAGGCCCCTAGGTACGTAGTTCCTTTTTGGGGCTACCTTATCGGATTCTAGATATAAACCACCAAAAAGGAACTACTTAGGGGCCTATGGGTACTCATGCCCTTTCTGGGCATTTGGGATCTGCCACGTGGGAGTTTCCGAAATTAGGGTTACCGTATTTTGGGGTCCTTATAATGAGGATCCTATTATTTAGGGTACCATATTTTGGTCCCCTATTTTCGGAAACCCCCACATCAAACTTAGAGCCCCGATTGGGTTTTGAGGGTGACGGGTTGGTCCTCTCCCCACTGGCAGTCCCCACTGCAGAGCTTCTGGAAATACTTGAAGCAGCCTGCAGGGAGAAGACACTCATAAACTTTGCCCATAGGCTCCATAGTAGCTCCTTTTGGGCATTACCTTGTAGGGTCCTACATATAAACCACAAGAAGGAACTACTATGGAGCCTATGGGTAAACCTAAAGGATTTAGGACTTAGGGATAGAGGGTTTAAGAGGGCTAAAGTATCAAATCGTGATGCGCGCAATCAATGCTGCATTGTCGTATCGAATATCGCAAACGCAGAGCAAGGTGTCGCTGGTACCTTACAGGCCGAGCTGCCCAAACGACTTCCTGCAGGAGACTGATTCATCAAGTAAGGTTTAGGGTTTCGGCTTCTGAATAGCGCTTGCCGCTCAGAGTCAGAGGCCTTTGGTTGTAAACTGGGATTAAACTTTGTAAGATTGCAGATGCGATACTGCTTGCTCGGATAGTTCGACTTCTCCGGATTTTTGGATTGCTTGCTGGGCAATGTGCGCCAGCTTACAAGGTACAGGCTGCTCTTCTACCGGCCTTCAAGGCTCTGTGCATGCCCCCCTCTGCCCAACGACCCCGTTGACCTGTTCGCGTTGATGCATGGTGTGTCAAGAAGGAAAGAGGCAGTCTTGTTGCTGCCACAGGTCCGTATACAAAACCTACCCTGGCTGATATTGTATGCCTGACGAATGATCTCAGGGCCTGCCTGCGCCGGCTAGACAAGCGCACCTTGAACTCAGCCTTCTGATCTGTGGTGGAAGGCTGCTTCAGATGGGCGTCTGCAAAATGCCGTGGATGTTGAACCAAAAATCCGAGAGCTCACCCTCCAGGACTTCGACCTTAAAGTAGTCGACCAGGCTCGGAGGTCTTTTGCAAGCCAAGAAAGCGTTGACTGCGATCTCCTTCTCGAGCGACTCGTAGGCGAGGTGCCAGGTCGAGCCGTCCCCGGAGGACCAGATCCGAAAAGATGCGGAGAACGAGGGAGAGCCATCCTTACGAACCGCAGTCTCAAAAGAGAAGCCCTGAAGATGAACCGCGGCATGGAGAAGCTGCCACTGCACCCACCCCTTTCGGAGGGTGAAGGTCTCGTTAGATGATGCTATTCGTTCGAGCTGGGCCATGGTGTAGGCCTCCCTTTGCTCCAGGCCCAGGATCACGACTACCCAGCCGCCCACGAAAGTGCCCTTCTTCCCGGCCTCTCTGTAGCGCTCCCAGAGTGTGTACAGCACATGTTTCGTGTGCTCACTGTGTGTTCGGACGTTGGTGCTGATGATCGATTCTACGGAGTTGCCTTCCTTCGTTCGCCAGCTTTGGAGAAGCTCCTTTAGCTCATCCCCTGCTATGCACAGCAGGCTTGAGCCGAGGATCTCCTCCAAAAGCTCCGGTCGGATCTCAGGACGCTCTCCCAGCGCTTCTTTAGGGTGGGTGAAGATGACATCGAGCGCCTCTGCTCGCATCTCAGCCACATGAAAGCGGTCTGCGATAGCGAAGACCTCGCAGGCTAGCTCAGGTTTGAGCGCGGCCCGCACAAGACGCAAGCACAAAGGATACAATGCCTCAACCTGGTACTTGTCGGCTATAGCGGCCACCTCCACCAGAGCAGTGATGGAGCCCCCGACGCTCCCAGAGTACAAGAAGCGCAGGAAGATCTCGACGGCACCAGCCGAGAAGTCTTGGATGACAACCTGCGACTGCTGCGACTCGGCATAGTTGTCCGATCCTACCATCTTCTCAAAGACGGGAGACCATTGGGCAAGCAGAACCGACCACACCTTGAACTCCGTGCGCTTCACACTCGCCTCAGTCTCCTTTGAGCTCTCGAGCATGTCCGACGAGCGTTCTTCTACGACTACCGTGAAGTTGCCGTCCTTGCCGAAGCATGCAGCCAAAACACCACAAAGAGCAGCCCTATCCTCTGCCGTCTCTGCCATGATTCCAGAAGCTGGCGTGTAGCTGGAGCAGCTAGGCAGAGAATCTCGAGCTCGGGATGGCCGCAACGAAACATGTCCAATATCACAGGCCGTTACCGGCGATGTGGACATGTTATGTCAGACCGTTCACCCAGACGCATCCCAATCTGGGGTGAGAAAGCAAACTAGGAACAGCGAAGGATACTCATTCAAAAGAGAGAGTCGCTTGAAGATGGTGTTGTTCAATGGCCCTGAGGGGAAGCCTTCTACTAAGTTAGCCTTTGAAACCTACCAGCTGTAACCCACAAACCACACCCGAGACTTAGACAGCATAGCTGCTGCCATCCTGAACAATTGGGCGCCTACTGTACCATCGCTTAGTGGCTGTAGTCTGCAAGCACCTTTTGCACGGCAACATCGGCCCGGACCACAAGCTTGTAGTGGAGTTAGGCCAAAATCCTACAACTCACCAAGATTAGAAGTGGAGGATTATTCTTGCGGGTCCATTGTTTGCCGTGGCCGTAAAGGGTTCCTATATAGGTACTTCAGGGCTAACAGTACACTTGAAGGATAAACCATGAAAAATCAACCTTGAATGACTTAAACCACCGCGGTGCAGCCCATAAACTTGCCATACATCCATGAACAACTGTGTTCTGCATCCATCAACAAAATCCCAGAACCCTCACACCCGAACCACAAGGCTTAATTAACCCTCAGGATCTAAAAATAATCTAGTTGACAGGGTCCTTGGGGTTGGGAAGGCCGTAACCATGTTTGTTGGATACTTGGGATCCCACGCCGCCGAACTGCAAGCCCTAAAGCCCTAATCCAAACCCCCCAAACCCTCAAACCTTAAACCCTAAACCCCAAACCCTAAAACCTAAACCCCAAACTCTAAAGCCTAAACCCCAAACCCTAAAACCCCAAACCCTAAACCCGAAACCCGAAAACCCAAACTCTAAAACCTAAAACCTAAGCCCTAAACTCTAAAACATAAACCCTAAGCCCTAAACCCCAAACCCTAAAACCTAAACCCTGACCGCCAAACCCCTTAAGGCCCATAAAGTCGCGCTGCCTGGGAAGCTGGTGGTCAACGCCCGAACGGCGCTCTGAGAGAAAACTTCCAGCCTCGTAGGTTTTAAAAATTTAGGGCTTAGGGTTTAGGGGTTCAGGGTCCAGGGATTAGGGATTAGAGTTTAGGGGTTAGGGGTTAGGGTCTATAGGGATTAGGCTTTAGGATTTAGGGATTATAGGGTTCAGGGATTAGGGTTTGGGGTTTAGGGTGTAGGGATCAGGTTTTAGGGTTTAGGGTTTTGGGATTAGGGTTTGGGGTTTAGGGCCTAGGAATTAGGGATCAGGGTTTGGGGTTTTGGGATTAGGGTTTGGGGTTTTGGGTCGAGGGCCCTTGGGGGTATTTGTAGGGTTTCTTTGAGGGTTCAGGCTTTCGTGATTCGAGGCCTTCAGCCTCGAAAACCCTGAAAGGATCCCAAGTACCGAAAGGGTAGACTGCAGGGTTTGGGGTTTAGGGTTTAGGATTTATACTACAAAGTCGGGTTTGGGATTTATAGGGTAGAATGTAGGGGTTTCGATGTTAAGACTTCCTATCATGATTTGAGGAAGTATCTCCCATAACAATACCTAGCACCCTTTGGGAACGCTGAAAGGTGATTGGCTTTTGCAGGTTTCCTTCAAGGGTTCAGTAGGGGTTTAGGGTGTAGGGTTTGTAGTGCTCAAGGCCTGCAGGGTTGAGGGTTCAGGGGCTGTTCTTGCTTCTTTTTTTTAAAACTGTTTAGGGTTCAGGGTTTCTTTACTAGGTTGTCCAATAGCCACATTGATACTAAGGGCCCCGTGTCCGACTACTTGTTTTGGATAAGGGATTCCTGACAACAAAAATAAAAGGCTACTACTCGGAAACTTAGTTTAACGGACCCGTAGAGGGATCTATACAAGTTCTATAGCGGTTTAGGGTGTAGGGTTTGGTTTGGCTTGTAGGGCTCAGGGCTTGCAGGGCTTGGTGTTTGGGGCTTAAACGAACTAATATTAGAATCGGGCTTCTGGGTGCAAGCAGTAGTGACATGGAACCCCTGGATAGACACATCTGTCGGGTCCAAGGCATGGCTTTGGAGTTCTTGGTGTCCCAATTGTCGGCTTTGGGGCTTGCAAAATCTTACCCGAGCATTTCAATTTCGGCAAGGGGCTTTTGAGCATGAAAGCACATCCCAACAACTTCAAGGAAGCCCTACATCCAAGCCAGAAGCCCAGCCTGAAAAGCGCCCTCCCAAGAATGCTCAGAGGCAGGCGGGCCATGCAGACCGAATTTGCAGTTGTTCAAATACACGCCTGACAGGGCCAAACGCCTCCCGACACCGAAACACAGCGCACGAACCACAAAAGCTCCACTCTATGCCGAAGCCTCAACGGATCCCTGAAACAACAAGTGCCGACCCCAAACCTGTCCTTCTCAACATACTTATGAATGGTTGGCCGCATAGCCCGTGAAGAGGGTCTGTGATCCACAGATGCCGACCGTTCAGCTTCGACATGTGACTGGGGGAGGGGTGGGTGGTTGGGTGGTGGGGGTGAGAGAGCGCGTGTGTGTGTTTGTGTGTGTGCGTATCTTTTGCTACTACTTGTATGTCTGCTCATGCTGGGCTGGCCAGACCTGGAACCATTCTTAGTTGCTGAGTTCATAAGCATAACAAAAGTGTACACCGTCAGTTCTATAACCCTACGGGTCCAAGTATTCGATATTTAAGGACTTTGGGGGCTTTATGGGTACTCAAAACTATAAATAACGACTACTTGGACCCTTCTAGGGTAAGGGATCACATTATCCCAAAAACTTTAAAGTGTAAAGCAATTCAGCTACTAAGCCGTTAGAAGAGCCCTTTACGGGTTTCTTGAGGGCTTCCCTTGAGAGATCCGCCTTCAAGGTAAGGGGGAGGGGGGTCCTTTAAGGGATCCCCTCTAAAGGACCCCAAACCCTAAATCCTGCAAGCCCTAAACTACTAAGGGAACCCTTAAAAGAACAATGCCGAGGGGTCCTTGTAAAGGACCCCAAACCCTAAACCCTAATCCCCTTAAGGGAACCCTTAAAAGAACAATGCCGAGGCTGCCTGTGCTGGCCAAATCCTGGGAGCCTTCACACAGGGGACGAAAGGGAAGTCCGACTCTTTAGGGCTTATAGGGTGTAGGGGGCCTTAATATGTACAACCGGTTTGGGGGTACAGTATAATTTTTATAAGGAGCCACCAAGTCTCTGAGATTTGTAGGCACTTAAGCCCCTATATCAGTCTTCAGGCTTCAGGGTTTAGGGTTTATAAGGCTCTTGTGGTTTCGCATTGAGGGTTTGGGGTTTGGGGTTTAGGGTTGTGGGTGTCGGGCGAGTGGCAAGGGCTTGTAGTGAGTTTGTTGTGAAGGCTTGACGGGTTGGTCTTGAGGTCCTAAACCCTAAACCCCTAAACCCTAAACCCTTATACTGCGAATGCTTCTTAGCAGCTGAAGCCCGACTGCCTTTGGGTGCTTGGACCCTAGGGGTTGCATTTTCCCATAGCAGCCATAGCAAGAACCCTGACACCCAGCGCCATCATTCAAAACTCTGAGCCTTCATCCTACACCGATGCGACTCCTCTTGTTGCGACGAAGCTTGGATGTAAACGTCAGATGATGGTAGAAGCCGACAAAAAGCTAGTGTAGGGTTTGGGCCTAATGCTTTGAAGCTGTTACAGCTCCGAACACCGGACTCCTCAAGCCTGGAAGCCCAAAATCATAAACCCTCCTCTTCTTCAACAACCAGGCCCAAAAAAGCTCAACCCTTTTTGGGATCTACTATATCAGGCCAAAAGCGTTTAAAGTTCTCCCATTGGCCCTAGACCCTAAACCCAATCTAAGCCTCAAACTCTTGAAAAGCCCAAACATCCCCAAACCCTCGATAAGGGGCTTCCCAGGGCTGCGAGGGCTTCGGGTTCAAAGGCTTAGGGATTAGGGTTTGTGGCTGTATGTGAGTTTCTGCTAATTCTATAGGACGGCCCCGGATTTCTCGACGAAAGACCTGAACCTCAGAACGCCTACCTGTTTTTTGACACATAATCATCATACACAGTAACCCTCAAAACCTAACCTCAAGCCCCCCGCACAAAAAAAAAAACACCAAACCCCCTCAACTCGGGCCCTAACCCCTGAAGTCATGAGTATGGAAGGCTGGCATCTGTGGGCGCACGACTTTCCAAGCTTTGGGTCTGGCACGAATGTACAAAAAGTTAAATATACGAACAACGATTGAACACACATACACACATGGATGTTGGGTGTATATTCACTATCATGTCAGCGCCGTGCTGACGACTTCTTATCTTCGTTGATGAGAATGCTGATGCGGATGCTGCTAGTGCCGGTGTGATGATGATGCGGATCACGATCAAACCCTAAACCCTGGTGAAGATGGTGATGATGCAGATTACGATCAGGACGAGGACTTCATCGCTTTACCATCACCACAGCTGCTACCTATTCAGAAACTCTCTTGCGTGGCTACTTCCTAAAGCCTGGAAACCCTACACCGGCAGAACATCATCTGCTGGGTTTAGGTTTCAGGGTTTAGCAAAAACATCATGGATCTGCCTTCTTCGTGTAGTTCGAGCACATTTCGGAGACGATCCACGAAGAACACCGTGTCCGGGTCTGCCTGTTCGTTCGGGGCTTGTGGCTAGTATGGATGTGGGCTTAAGGTTTAGGGTTTAGGAGCACCTATTATAGAACCCTATGCTACCGTTAAAGTGGACCCGATTATGGAACTCTAGGCTACCCTTAAGGGTATGGAGCACCCCGGGCTGAAGGTGTATGGATTTGGGGCTTGCTAGCATTTCTGCCAATGTCCCACCTGCACCCAATCTTCTATAGGGGTCGGAATAATTCGTAAGTGCAGTTGTCGTATGCCCCCCTTATGTAGTTATGCTATGAATTACCCAAAACCTCCCATTCTAATCATGAAGAACTTAAGACCGCATTAATGCTCATGTACTCTTTCTGTCCATGCACACTTGCAGAGAAGCTATTCAAGATCGAAAGCGAGGTGCTGCGGTCATTGAAGACCTTTAGGGGGTTTAAACAGTTCGTATTAATATACTCTCACACCCAAGCACCTGCTAACTTAAACCCTGAAACCCAATCTGAACACCAGCGCCCTGCTTTTGTAAACGTTCACCGACGTCTTTCTCTAATCGAGCTGCGCAAAAGAGGCTCTAATACAAAGCAAGGGTGTCCACCCCTGAGTGCATAGCCCTGAAGCCCCGGACACAAACCCTTGAACGGAGAAACTCTAAACCCCAAACCCGTTCTCTAAATTAAGGTCCCTAAAGGGACCCTAGTTTAGAAAACGACCCATATACTATTTGGGTATACGGAACCTTAGCGAGTGGGTTGAGGGCTTCCCATTGACTCAGGCTTCCGGGTTCGAGGTTGAGGGTTTATTGCTCCGCACCTCGACCTTCGCGTAGGAAACAAGGCTTAGGGTCTTAGTTGCTGAGCTCATGAGCATAAACAAAAGTGTACACTTTCGGTTCTATAAGGGATCATAGTATCCCAAGAAGTTTAAAGTGCAGTGTAGTAATTCAGCTGCTAAGGGGGGTGTGCTTTATGGTGTAAAGTAAACCCTTGGTAGAATATCTCTACATGTATGATCACACATATTATGCGCATGCAGCCAGGTAACCAGGAAATCCTAAACCTTAAGCCCAAAACTCAACCCTACATCTCCACCTTCGAAAAAGAAAAACTAAACCCTAAACCGACGGTTTAGGGTCGAGGGGCCCTAAACCCCCAAGAAAAGCAAGGCCTTCACGATCCAGTTGTACAGGAGGTAGTGGCCATCGGAAATCACTTGCCTGGTCCACGGCTTAGGCTTTAATGTAGGAGCCTGGAGCCTTAAAATTCGAATAGGGTTTTTGGGGTAGATTATACTATATTTGTAATAAGGAGCCCCCCAAAATAGTATGGGAAAGTATTAAGGCCCTTATACTGGGGCCCAAGCCTAAGCCCTCAAGACTGGTCCGGCGAACCTATACCCGAGGTTTGCAAAATCCTAAAACTTCCTAAACGCCCAAAACCCAAGACCCTATAGAACCCCTAAGCCATAAACCCGACAGGCTAAAACCACCCAAAAGCTCCCACACAATCAGAACAGGGTCGTGGGTGATCTTTTAATGTGCTTATAGGTCTACAATTATTGAGACGACTTCTACAGCATCCCCATCCACAAAAGCCCCGTAAGAAGGGATCATAGAAACCCCGAGTTCCTACTCCTTAAACCATAACACTCCCTCATCCCTCAGCCGCACTATAGGGTGCAGGGCTTAGGGCTTAGGGTTTATTCCCTCAGCTGGGTTCTTGCTAGCGGATTAATTTAAGTTACCATAATCAAGAAACCCCATTATTTACAATAGATCCCCAGTATGGTAACTTAAATAAAATCCCTTATATAACAAGAACGTAGTTTAGGGTTTAGGGTTTAAGGCTCCTAAAGGGTCTTGGGCTTTCTGGGGGAGGGTTCCGGCTTTGGGGGGGTAGGGTATGGCACGGGCTTAGGAGCCTTGGGGTTTAGGGTTTTGGTTTAGGGTTTAGGGTTCAGGGTTTAGGGCCAAAAACCCCTACCTCGATACCAAACAAAGTTTGCTTTTCCGGACTTGTATAAGGGACTCAGAATAAGCGACCCTAAAAAGGTAGGCTAGCTAGGGTTTAGGCAGACTCTACACAGCACTCCTTGTACCTGTAAGGACACTCTGGGTACTCCAAGCCTTACAGTACCCTTAAAGGTTCCCTTATAAGGGAATCCTTGTAGTACCCTTGCGGGAAGCCGTTTTGGAACCCCAAAACACCCCAAAAGCCCTAAACCCTTAAACCCTGAACCCTTAAAGGAACCCTGAAAGTAGCCTGAAGGAACCCTTATAGGTACCCTTAAAGCAAGCCTTAAACGAATCCTGAATGGGCTACTGCCTCCAGAAGGCAGCGAAGATCCGCAGATTCAATGCGCTCCTCAGATGCATCGGCTTCGAGATCGCGATAACGTCTTCTTTGGGTTTTTGTTTGAAAGGGTTCCTTGAAAGGGTTATATAGGGTTTAGGGTTCCTGCAAAGGGTCATTTAGGGTTCCTTTAAAGGGTTATATAGGGCTTACGGGTTTAAGGTGTGGGGCTTCGGGTTTATAGGGTTTGGGGTGTAGGGATTAGGGTTTATAGCGTTTAGGAATTCGTAAAGCCGAGAGGCAATGGATTCAGGTTATTCTGGATGCTTCTCCAAGGATCTGTAGAGCATTTAGGGTGTAGGGTTTAGGGGTCTTTGAGATTGGAAACAACCAAACTGGTGTAGCATGATCCCGAAAGCGCCATGTAAATGTACCGTAAATACTTACAGGCCTTAATGTACCTATACAAGAAACCCCTTGAAGGCCAAAGTATATACTGTATGATTACGTGGACCCAGAGAACCCAATACCCCTTAAGTAAGGAACATACCTTAAATTATAGGGGCCTTAATATTATGATGTACGGTATACTCCTTAATTAAAGGGTATTGGGCTCTCTGGGGAGCCTGAGGGGATGATACTGAACTATATGGGGATACTTGTGCGAATAGTCCAGATCCCTGTAGTGCAGGTTCCACACAGCTATATATAGCAACTATACTGGCCCTGATACTTACAGGAGTCCTAAAGTAGATGCTCTATCGGTACGATGGGGGGAGCATTGATTAGGAAAAGGGTTTTGGAGTATGCTGCAGTACGGATAAGCATACTTAATTGGTCCCACTCGTGTATTGCATGGACCCTCATAGTGCAAATGGGTAATCCAACATCCGAGGAGTAGGGGTTCGCTATTTTGTGTAGTGAACTGACTTCCAGTCAGACTCTGGGGTTTCGGGTTTAAGGTTGGGGGCTTAGGGTTTTAGGGTTTAGGGTTTACTGTTTTAGGGTTTAGGGTTTAGGGGTTTAGGGTTCAGGGGTTAGGGTTATTTTTAGGATGTCGGGTATTGTAAAGCGGGGCAAGAAAACACTTTGAGGAATTCTGCAGCGACAACATTGGGGCTTCCGGCATCTCAGGTTCCCAGAGCGTTCCATATATACTATACCATTCAGGTCCCCAAAGACCATCCTAATTCTGGTTGCGGGGACCCAATTCCATAATAAGAAATAAGCGTATATCGTCGACGGAAAAGACGTCCCTTCCACAGGGGTTGCGTCCAGAAAAGGCCACCATCCTCAGCGACCTTGCCGAGCGGGGAGTTCAGGAGGAAGACCAAGCCCTTCTCCCCAACCACGCCACCCTCGCCAGGAAGCGCGAGTCCGACGCAAAGATACCTCAGTTTTCCGCAGGCCGCCCAGCATCGAGATGAGAGCGACTTCTTCATTGAACGCCAAAGCATTCCGTGACTAGCCCAGACGAGACCTCAGAGTCGAGTGGGGCTTGGTGCGAGTCCTCAGTGCCACGTAGGCGGGATGGGAACATCCCAAAGCACATGCTCAACAGACGGCACGCAAGGCCCCCCGCAGTCGTGGCACACATGCCTAACTGCTCCCGAAGGAGCCCACCTAGCGTCCGTACTCATGCCACCGCACATGACAGCAACCGCGTCGCCTGAGACAGCTCGGGCGAGCTTGCAAAGCCTTTCTGCAAGAGCTGGAGTGGCCGACACGCAAAGCGTGAGCCGCCGCATTGCGGGCGTTCAAAGGAGCCAGGATGTCATAGCAGTGTCTGCCAGAGCCCCAGCAAACCCACTGCCGAGGACGAGGCCGCCATCCCCACCGCGAAATGGCGGAACTGAGCGTATATATGGACACTCTGAGGATGAAAGAGGGTTTCAGGGTATTCGTTGCCACAAACCTGCTCAGCTGAGATTGATGATGGGGCCCGAATCCCAGAGGGTCCATAATTATAATGATAGAAATCCTGCATTGCCTTATTAAGGAGCCTAAACTATAGGAATTCTGGTATATTCCTTCTTATGGGTAATGCGGGATTTAATTCATCAACGGTAGTACTATTCTGGAATTGGGTCCCAGAACCATAGTAAGGATGGCTTTTGCGGGTCCTAATTCCATAATGGCAGTATATACGGAGCCTCTGGGCAAGGGACGATAGATAACGGTAGGAAGCCGCGTCACATAAAGGCTGACGCCAAAACTTGAACGCGAAATAGCCGACCGTTTTAAGGATTATCAGAAAAACAGAATAAGAAACCCGAAATCCAGGGAACAATCAGTATACAAGTCTCCAGTGTCCGAGTTCTTCGTACTCATACATGCTCCAAAGACCAGGATCCTCCTTGCACCCTCAAGTAGGGGTATATGGTCCCAAATGAGGGGTACTCAGGGTCTAATAATAGAGGGTAGATGGAGGGCCTAGGGAGTTAACCTATAACTTCTACATACCTTTTACATCTACGTACACATTTATTTTCGGGTTCCTGGAAGGTTTCGTGTAAAATCCCCAAACCCTAAACCCCTAAAGTCAAAACCCAATGCCCTGAGAGACCGAGAGTCTTGAACTCACCACCGACCTCGCACTCTTGGCTGGTCATCACCTGGTTTTAGGGTTTAGGGTTGGGGATGTGTTTAGGGTTTAGGGGGGTTAGGCTTTACCCATAGGCTTCAAAGTAGTTCCTTTTTGCCTTATATATATATATACACACACACCATAAAGGAGCTACTTAGGGGCCTATGGGTAGGGTTTAGGGGGGGTTAGGCGTTAGGCTTTATAGGGTTTCGGGGTGTAGGGTTTAGAGCTTGCCCTGCCTAGAGGCTGACTGCCCAGCCTCGGAGCTCTTGAGAGCCAGAGCATCAAGGTATCATTAACTATCAGGCCTTCCCTACGGCTCTAAGGACCCATATTCTAAGGCTTTTGGGCCCAAAGACCATGTTATATGAGGCTGTTGGGCTATTTTGAGCCTTAGGGCTTGAGATTCTCATGGTGCTGGACAGCCGCCACGCCACCCCATCTTCAACCTTACGTAAAACCTTTCACTCGCCCTAAACCCTAAACCCAAAACTCTGAACCCTGCACTTTTGAAACCCCAAGGACAGCTTTCTGCTTGAAGTTTCTGGGCTTGGGGCTTCTTTTGTCTCCCTGAGGTTCAATGTGATCTGCTGGAGCAGCAAACCAAAATCACCATGCACCCACATCTGAATTACTGAACCCCGCTGTCCAGAGCTGACATGCGTCGATGTACGACAAGAAAAACATGATTCGTTTGTTTATGATGTGCCTATATACATATCCCATCATATAGCTGTACGCGTGTGAGTCATGAAGAACAGTGTGTTTTACGTATGTGCTCTGCTTACGTGCCTTCGCGTAGACATGTGTGTGTGTGTTTTGCCAAAATGCTGCGAAGCTTCGGAACGCACCTATATGTTTGGGGGCAGCAACACAACTTGAAGAAGCAACGTCGACTGCACTGGAGAGCATTACGTCGCCTGCTGCACACGGGAGGAGAGGCACCAGGTCCTCATCCGCGATTCTTCCATAGGATTTCGGTCGCGCATGCGTGTACAAACTGACAAAAAGCCAGACCCAAACCCCTCCAAAACCCTCAACCCCCTAATCCAAAGCCCTGTAGCCCTAGACCCGTAAATCCTAAACCGTAAAGCCCTAAAGCCTAAACCCTATAACCCTAGACCCCTGAACCCTGTACACCTAAGCCCTAACAGCCCTAAACCGTATAACCCTAGACCCCTGAACCCTATACCCTAAACCCTCAAACCCAAAACCCTGTAGCCCCTAGACCTCTGAACCCTATACACCTAAGCCCTATCAGCGCTAAATACCGAACCCGGGAGACGGCCTTGCGTGTCTCCAAGCCTGGTGCAATGACCATCGCCTGGTTGCTGTACACCTGGCAGGGTTTAGGGTTTAGGGTCTATGGTTTAAGGTTTAGTTAGGGTTGAGGGTTTAGGGCTTAGGGTTGAGGGTTTAGGGTTGAGGGTTTGGGGTTGAGGGTTTAGGGTTGAGGGTCGAGGGTTTAGGGTTGAGGGTTTAGGGAGCAGTGACCATCGTTTGTTGCTGTACACCTGGCGTCCGCAATGCCAAACCTCCTAAGTACCTAAATGGGTTCCTTCAAGGGTTCTGTTAAAAGGTTTAGGGCTCCTCTTTATGGTTCCTAGAAGTACCTATATAGTAGAACTTAGGCTTTCTATGTTCGGAATTGCTCTTATGATGTTGGGGAAGCATCTCCCATAGCAGTACCTAGGACCCTTTGGGAGTGTCGCACGACCCTGTTGTGCTATAGATGACTTGGTTAGGAATTAGTAACCTACTGTTCAAGTAAGTAACTGGAGCCCTAGGATATCACTCCAGAGGTAATCTTGGCGCAGCGGTTTAAACACCCTAAAACCCGACACAGATAATCTGGGTGCAACCGTTGCGGTTTTTGGGCTAGCATAGGACCCGTTGGGTTCATCTGGGTGCAACAGCTACGCCTTTAGCCTAAACCCTACACCCTAAACCCTAAAACCCTAAACCGTAAGCCCGAAAACCCGAAACCAGAAACCCTACAAAGCCCTAAAGCAATGACTGGCCAGGCCCTCCAGCAGGCGGAAAGCTTGAGGAAACTCGGGGCTTCGCCGATGTTGTTGGTTTGGGGTTTAGGGGTTTAAGGGTTTAGGGGTTTAGGGGTTTAGGGTTTCGGCTTTAGGGGTTTAGGTGTTTAGGGCTTCGGGTTTAGGGTTTCGGGGTTTATAAATTAAGGTTTAGGGCCGTTGCGGGTGTAGGGTTCTGAAGATAGACAAAGCAAGCAGAATCGACCCTAAACCCTCTCAGCGCGAAGCCCTCAAGCCTAGTTCTTAAGTCCTCCACGCAAATCTGAAGGCGCTAGAGCATCCAGAGGAAACGGCTTAGAGTCTAGGGTTTAAGCAACGTCGAAGATAAGGATACTGGCTCGGGGGTTTAGGGCTTAGGGAGGCTAGGTTTGGGCTTGAATGTTCTAAGCCTCTGGGCTTATAGTTCAAGCCGCATGGCTGGTGAAAGTGTCGAAGAGTCTTCCAAACCGAATACAAGCCCTACACCCGAAACCCTAAACCGCAGAGGATTGTCACAGAGGTGCCGTGAAGAGAGCCAGAAGTACAGTTAAGAAGGGCACCGCAAGCGTTTTCCCTAATGCTACGTAGGACATGGCCCCTACCTCCCAGAGATTCGAAAGGGTTTAAGGGTTTAGGGTTTACATAGAGGAATAACTATTCGTTTAATTTGAGGAACCTGGCTTATTCGCTGACTCCAGAAGCAAAGCTTCAACCCGAAATCCAGCAAGCGTCTAGAGCCGTAATAGGCCTGGTACTCGTCGCATTCGAAGATGCCGGCGTGCTGCGCATACTGCATTTGAATCAATCCTGGTGTGGCTCAGCTTGCCCTAAACCTTAAACTCAGCTTGCGGTGGGGCTCAGAAAATCCGTCAAGTCTGCACCAAGTGTCCCAGTGTATCCGAAATTCTGAGAATAAGGTTTTGGGTTATGATACAGCATATAACTCAATGTTTAACTTAAACACAGGTATATAGAACCATATTATAACAGTTCTGTTCCGAGGCTTTTTAGGGCCCTTGTTATCATCTGCTCGCCAAAATCGTAACCCTACGCAACCATTATTCCAAGCCCGGGTGCCTAATTATTGGATCCTTTGGCCCCTTTTAGCGTTCCTTAAGGACGAAATTAACACTAAAAAGGGTTTAAGCTTCATATGCCATATAGGAATTCATAGTATAAGGGTATAGGGCCCCTGCTTTTAAGGGTCTTTCGACCTTTCGGTTGAGGGTTCTAACGCCAGAAAGGAATCGGGAAGCTGCAGCATCCAGTCGCCGCAGAGTCAGATTTCTGTACCCAGAGAGTCCATACATACTACCGGAATCTACCGGACTTAGATCCCAAAAGACGATGGTTCTTAATTATGGCTATGGGGACTCAATTCCATAATAGTCGTATACATGAACCCTCTGGGGTAGAGATGCTGTGACACTTGATGTACAAATCCGAAATGATCGTTGCTCCGTCAACACAGCATCTAAGCAGCGCACTGTGGACCAGAACAGATGCTGATACAGGACAAGATTTCCACAGCTGCAACATGAGGGTCTAAGGGTTCAGGGTTTAGGGGTTCAGGCCTGTATAGTAGCTCCTTGGGTTGGCCAGCGATTCTTGCTGCATAGGAAGACAAATCAGATGAACAACATTATCTCAGCAGAGGACCCCAACAGCGAAAGACAGATAACCAACAAATGATTTCAAACGATTCAACCCGCATTTGATGACAGCCCGAGATATAACCACAGCGGAATGGGTAGCCTATTGACCTACTCCTCGAAGCCAACAGAAACCCTCACGAAGGCCCCCCATCGCGGGGCCTACTTCGTAGGAATAAGGCACCTGCTGGCTGGGTTTACGGTTGCTAGTTCTCATAGGGTCTACCTGCGCATCCCTAATTAAAGGGTACTTGCGGGGTTCTGGCAGGGTTGGGAAATGCGGGTGTAGCTCGGGCGTATGTTGTAGTCTGCGGGTTCTGCAGAAAACTCTCACAAGGTCCAAGTAACAGTATGGCATGTACTTTTGGGGTCGAAACAGCCACTAGAGCCTA